TTTGTCTGAGTCTATAAAAGGGATGATCGCAGTGTCTTCTTGAATTTTACAGGCGGGTGAAATATCTCTGATAACCAAGGAACGATTAAGAGGGAGATTTATTTCTGCTGACTCATCCGTTGAATCTTTGAGGAAAAAACACCTGTCAGAGGTCATAAGGGGCCTTTTGTCATTTGGTGATTTTAAAAGGTCTGCCCACGTGGCAGGGTTTGAATTTTCTATCTGTAGCTGGTCAGCATGTTGTCGCTGGTGTACTGTTCCCTGCACGTGAAGACCCATCGATTTGACCTGTGGTGGAACCGCGTCTGCTCTGTCCGCCATGTTTACTGGCGTAGGTAAGGATGCCAGCGGAGGACCTGTGTTTCTCATCTCGATTTCGACGGCCTCAGTAGAAGTTGGGTTGCCATGGTGCGTTCGACCCTGATTCCCAGACAAACGTTTTTGTCCATCCCTTTTCGATGTATGCCGGTAAGTTCGGCGATTGGAATCGTGGGGGAATTGTTTGTCTTGGTCAGTTGCGAGTGAGTGTAGATTAACATTGGTGGGTTCGTCTTCCATATGTAATAAGAGAAAAGGATTAGAATTTCTTACTGACCATTCTATTTCTGGTGAGGGCCGTTGATATTTTGAAGTGCGGTGATTGAGATGAGGGTTGAAAGGCCTTCGCTTATGGTGAATTGTCCGCCAAGAGTAGTCTGGCTCCTCCTTGCTGAAGTTGTAGGGTGCTGATATTCGGTTGGCGTGTTCAGGGTGGTGTTGTAGGTGTGGTCCGGAGGAAGGCTTAATCAGTTCCAGTCTTTCACTTGTTCCAGTCGGTTCTGGGTACCATGTCTGATTTAAGCAGGGCGTTTTCTGATTGAGATAGATTTGATGACGATTCCAAGGTCCAGACGCTTCTCCTCTGGTTCTTTGGGGTCTTCGTACATGAAATCTGGTTTGGGGGCGATGGTACCATTGTACTGGAAGATGTTGTTTGGCCGGTGGAGAGTCCAGGTAGTAGTACTGGCCTATGGAGCGTGGAGAGTCCCTATAGCAGTACCGGCCTATGGAGCGTGGAGAGTCCCAGTGAGTGGAATATCTGTTTTCATTGAATGGGTGATGAGGATTCCGGCGTGGATGTGACCCTTATTTCATGTATTCCTTCAACTCAGATTGTAAATGATTAGTTCTTTATTACATATATTCTTTGTCTGTGTTCAGTTTTTTAAGGGTGACCTCTCATTCCCTTAAAATGAAAATTAATGAAAGTCAGGCCCAAGTTATGGGTATTCTAATGAGGTGATGGATTAGTGTGGTGTGATTTTAAGTCTTCTATTTTTCTTTAAAAGATACACTGCTTGATTATTACCAAAAAAAAAAAAATCCATAGTTTTGCACATGTATGGGTTTAAGAGGTAACAATGACAGTAAGTCGTTTTCTTAATGTTCGGTTTTTTGTTAAATGAGTAGACTCTTATTTCATGTATTCTTTTCCTAAAAATTGATCACATACTTTCCTTTTCGTTACTTTACTTTGCATTTCATGAGTGACAAACGGATCCTCAATGCATCTTAATGAGTAATGGCCTTAATCGTGCTGCAGTGAAGTTCATTTTATTGCCGTAAATGGAAACTCAACCAAAATACCTATATATTTATAGCACCTTGTGTTCTTTCCGTTTTTAAAATATCCACTTAAAACCACTAGCTTTAGACAATTTATAAGTAACATTGATCAAACCTGAATTCAAAAGTGAGCTACACATTTTATGTAAATGAATCAACTTTATATTTAAATTATTGTAGTGAACTTTTCATTTTAAATGTCTAAAAATTTCTTCAGATTTTAATCTCTAGGAACTGGACTCTGATCATTATTTGAATTTTGTGAAATGTGATAGTTTCATGGCCAAATCTAACATTCACTTGGCCAATCCATGACATTTTCTTTTTCTATGGTATTCAGTTTAACGACCATGTCAGACAATTATGTGCATTGGGGGATATTATGATAACTGGACAATTCACATCAACTTTTACACGGGAAAAAAAGATTGCCTCGCATTGGCCCCTTGGACATTTCATGTTCATTGCAATTTTTTTTTAGTTTAATTTAAACAAGTTGGATAAGGGGTGAATACCAAATGAGGACCAAATTATGTTTGGTTTTGATTTGTCACATTAACTTTTTTGAGATCTCTTTTTTCAGTTTTGTTTTATTTGGTTGTATTTTTAATCTTAATTTCCATTCAGCCACACAAAAGACAATTGACGGACCTTCAATGAAAGATTGGAGGGCGAGGCGTGGTGCTGGGCAAAACATAATGCCCATCAGCGCCAACTCGAATGCCGTTGCAAAGGTATAACTTATAGTCCAATCTTTGTTTCCTTATAAAGTCGTATTTTCTTCCTCCACATCTGTTTTAGATCATATAACTATTCCTCTTTGCCTTTTTTACTCACAATTATTTCATCATTTGCCATATTTTTTGTACCTTAATCACTTTTGAAGCCACATTGATTTTTTTTCCCAAATACAGAGATAGATAGAGATCATAAAATTGTTTCCTGAGAGAATATTTATTTTGTCTTTTGAGAGAAAAGAAAAAAAGATTAATTAGCATATGATATTTTCTCATGGCCTTTTTTTACTTGCATTCTACTCATTTAGTAAGTAGTATGTTAAGTATGCCTTATTCGCACTACTCACTATTAAATTATTTATAACAGATGACTAATTACAATTTGAAATTTGCTTTAGTTCAAATTTGCTGCTTCGTTTCTAATGTTTGCATTTTTGAACACATTGCACATTTATTATGTAAATTTTTCATACTCCGTACTATTTTTGCCTCGATAACTTTTGAAGCCACATCACTACTTTCCCCCAAAACTTAAGCTAGAAAACTGTTTTTATAGGGAGCCATTATGGCTATGGCGAGAAAGTAAAAAAAGACTTGCCAGAATCTGGTATTTCACTTTGCCTAATTTACTTGCTTTCTTATCATATATGTATGTTAAATCTAACTTATTCACGTTTAAAATAAATGACTAATTTGAATTAGAATTAAAAAATATCTCTTTGCCTCTTTTACTTGCTCAATTCATGTTTCTTGAAGAATTAAAATAGTCATTTTCATTTGATAGATTCGTTTTCAATGATGTGCTCAACCTGGTGGGTGGCCCCCATGTCAGGCTTCTCTTTGTTAGCAAAACTGCCGGTTACCACAAAAGAACACAGTTTAGCTCTATGAACTGGTTTTGTTGTTCTTCTTGATTGAATATAATGAATTTTGAGTCGGGTGGAACTGATTTATGTGCAAGCAAGAGCGGTCACAATAAGCATTAAGCTATGAGTCAACATTTGAGTTTTGCAGGTAGAAATTCATGAGTTGTTTCTTAGTTTTGTTGAAGTTGGGGCCCACCGTTGTGCGGTTAAAAAGAGGGGACCCCTTCGTGACCACTTTTTTCTTTTTGGCATTTGCAGTAGTTTACATACATGTACACCAACTTGAATCTGTTTTGATACTGGTTACATACATTTTGGTGAATAGCTGTTTGGGCGTGGTGGGGAAGAGCTAGACTTTCTACTACAATGAGGAATTGAAGTGAAAGCCATACCTGCCTACCTGGTATAAAACTTTTAGCATTGTGAACACAAGCCAACTTTCTTTTTTTTCTATTCTGGATCTTTTTTTCCAAAATTACTTGAGGTTCAGTTCATGTTATATATTTTTTTGTTTCATTTGCAGGGGAGATCATATCAGGGAGATCTACCAAAAATGTGACTAAGTTTTACTCTTTTTTTTAAAAAAAAATCTTGGTTACCAATTTACCATAATATGCTTGGTATACACACTTTATTTTTCTATTACGTTGAATAGTAATGTGTACGACATATGTTTGTTTCTTAAGATCTTTATCGCTACTCCATCCTTTTTAATTTTTTCTTATCAGCCTCATGGCTGTCCCTGGGCTCACACCAAAGCTAGAGCTTTGGTGCCAATGTTTTTTGTGAAGGGGAAAAGGCCTATAACTTGAGTGTGGTAAAACACTAGAAAGAGTTCTTCCTTTACTCCCTTCTTTCCAAGTCATAATTTTTCTTGCTCCCTCACTTTCACTCCACACCTCAATTTCTTTTTGCACATAACTATTAAAATCAAAGAATTATCACCTAACATTTAATGTTGTTTCACTGTTTTCCCCCTTCTATAACGTTTCAGTAACTTTCACATATTCACTTGGTTCGTACGGTCAATTCATTGTGATGAGATTGCGTCTTTTAATTTGTTAGAGTTTCTTTAACTAAACTCTTAAAAGTTCCTAATAGGTTCAATTTGTGAGCGGGTAGTTGCAAATGAAAGGATCTTCTTCATATTGTTTTCATAGCCAATAAGGAGGTTTGTTACTTGGATTTATTTTAGCCCAGATCGGTTTAGACCAAATCATTTCAGAACTGAGTTCGACAGTTCTAAAATACAAGGACAAAACATTTATTAGATCAGATTAGATTAGAAAAGATAAAACTATAAAATTTCATTTCAATTATAAACATCCTAAATCATATGTAAGTAGAACATGAGGCTATTAAATGATACTACCAAAACTTAACTTTGTATCCATTAGCATAACTCGGGTAAGTTATAAACGTGATTTCAGAATTAGTAAGCATTTGAATCATTTGGTTGAATTCTTTGGTTGGTATTAATAATCACATGTTGATTTAGTTGCTAATAATGTTTGAAAAATGGTCATTATTTTATACTCCATATTGTATTTAGTTGCTCAAAATCTCACTTTAATCAAATACATTTATTTGGATGTAACCTATTACAGAAGTGTAATTTTGTAATTTTAAAATTAAAATTTTTATATGGGTAATTTCGTGATTTGTTATTCCGTGCAACGCACGGGTAAAAGACTAGTAATGTCAAAACAAAATTCACTTTGGTAGATTATACTCCTCTGTATAATTTAGGTGAATCAAATCTCAAATAATTATAGAGAGACGACTGAGGAGTGGGGAGAAGAGAAATACGCGGAATTAGTTAATTCGATCCGGATACAGAGTGAAAATGTGTTTAACTACTCAAACTATAATTAAATTCCCAAATAGAGATCATCCAGATCCGTCAAGATCATCCACTGTCGAAACGGTGACTCTAATTAAACCAAATTACATGTACTCTGCTCAGTCCTTAAACTGGAAATGGAGTTCTCAACGTCTTTATCAACGAGCTCTGCAATACTCCACCGTGCACCCTCAGGTCGGATTCAGAGATTTGTTGTTGTTATTTTGCTATATACTGCAACAGTTGTTATACATCATCCCTCTACCGGAATCTCTCATCTTATTATACGTATACGTTCGAAGTATGTTGACGCGTACGGTTGTGGCTTCATTCTATTCAAATTTGCAGAGAATTTTCTGCTGCTCAAAGGAGTGAACTGTAATCAACGCTACTCTTCGTTTCTTCGGATTAGACGGGCAGTTGGCCCTTCAGGAATTTCGATTCCGAAGGAAAATCGTTTGCAGGTTCAGTTTCTGTTTCGATAAGCACACCTGCAATTGGAATTGTGATCGTTTTCACTGTTGGCATTGTGCAAATTGAATTTCAGCTATAAAATTTTAGTAGTCTTTGAACTAGATTTTATAAGGTGGTTTAATATAATCCATAGGTAGAGGACATATCTGGCATTCTTACATACTTTGCTTATTATAAATACGAAGTGTTAGATTAAGACACCTAATAAGGCGAACCGTATTCCCATTAATATTATTTGTATATGGTATCATGCACCTGCCATTCCGCGATACTCAGTAGCAATAGCTAAAAGCTCCCCACCTGTGAGAGAAATTAGTCATAGCGGATGATTTGGCTGCCATTAATTCTCACGTTAGTAATCGTGATTTGATTGAATATACTGTTCTTGGACTTTGCGGAGTATGAGTCACTAATTACAGATATGTCCTCTTTCTATGGATTATTAGTTTACAGTCGTGATTGGAAGGACATCAGAGGTAAACTTTTTCCACTGTTCTATTTTCATGTTTTATAGAGTTAACTGATTTGAGACAATTTGTTGATGCTCTGAATTTTGTACAAGTGGTTTGGATGAAGATGACACTATGACAGTGGTTTACCATATTTTTATATGCTTTACAGAGTAACCGCCAATGTAGATTCTACATACACATGCCTTTGTTTTCAGGTATGCTGCCAGAAGAAACAAATTCCAGTCATAGATGCCAGGTATGTTGTCCTTTTCTTTTCTTATTTCAACATTGTCTTGAGCTTTAAAAATGAATGATGTACACAAGTTTCTGATTTGACAATGCAATATTATAGATTTTCCTTTTTATTATGAAAATGCAAGAAGATAGATGCATTTTTGCGTAATTAAGCTATTATTATAGATTTTCCTTTTTATTCATTCTATGCTTGTAGATGCATGGATGACATATATGATGCCTTGGCCAAACGTATTGTTCCTACTGCTGCTGCCGCATCAAATCCCCATTTTAAGTAAGTTATAGCTTCATCAATATCAGTCTATCACAAAGGACTGTTTTTTACCTCAAGGTTGTAGGGTTTTATCTTTGTTCACCATCAAATTCTCTGTCATCAAAAGATTTCATAGCTTCTTTGGTATGCTTTTGCTGTAAGTACTTTTAAAGGAATGTACTTTCTGATTTAAGCACTAAAGTGCAGTATGTGTATGGTAGTTCCGGATTACTGTGCGCATGGTACATCCAAATGCTCCAAAGGAGCATTCATATGATACAAACTGGGTACTATACAGTAGTATATTCAAATGGAATTGGAATGAAAAAAAGAAGAACAAATAAAACATGTGGAATTATAATAATAACAAAAATGCATGGATTTAAATTATATCCGGATGTTTAGTATATATTTCTTTAAAAGTGGCTTCACAAAAAGCAAAAAGTGTGTTTTTTTTAAAACAAATGCACGTTTTTACATATCCCTCTCAAGTTTTAATTTTAAAGCAAAATTATGTTTTTATATAAAAGACACACCAAGTGCACTCTCACATATGCACAAAAATGACATTTCCCATATTAAGCACCTTTTTGGGAAATTTCTTGAGCTAACCCTTAAGTTTTCAGTATTTCTCAAAATGACTTGGATTACATCAGGAATTTATTTTCAATATTTCCCATATTAAGCACCTTATTTTAGCATACCTCAAGTTTGTATTATGGAATGTGCATAATAGAAGGCATTCCGTGAAATAGAAAAAATCTAAAAGTTATGCCGGGAATTTCATTTTTGTCTTCATTTTATTCACAGAGCACTTCTTTTTGAAGTAAACATACTTCCCTCTCAAAACACACGTAGTCCTTGAAAATATGTCATCCCAAACTCACACTTAGACTCTGCTAATGCCTGGAAGTGATGCTTCTCTTTCATCTTAGCATTGTCTAATTCAGACCTTATCTTTAGCAAATAATATGCATGCATGTGCAGGCATATTGTTGGCCTGGCAGGTCCTCCGGGTGCTGGAAAATCTACTCTTGCATCTGAGGTGGTTAAGAGAGTTAATATGTTGTGGCCACAAAAGGCTTGTTCCTTTGATTCACAAGTGGAAACACCTGAAGCTGCCATTGTTCTTCCAATGGATGGATTCCATCTTTATCGCCACCAACTTGATGCAATGGAGGTTCATTTTCTTTATTGCTTATTTTCTACACCTATGTATACTTCAATTATTATTATTATTATTATTATTCACTATCACTATTATAATTATATAAATACTCTTCTTTGGTTGGTAGGATCCAGACGAAGCACATGCCAGAAGGGGAGGTTAGGTTCTTTATCCCACCTCTCTTCAAGTAAACTACCTACGTTTTTTTCTCCAAGTTGCATCTTGTTTTCTGTTTGTACACTAATTAAGATTTTAGTGTTCAGAAGTGAGCGGCATCTTTATTTAAAGGGAATCTATACGTACAAATATGGGGTTTTTATTATCATTATTTTTTTCAGAATGTCTTGACTTCAAAGTTTTCTGTTTTGGACTGGAAAAGAAAAAGGAAATAAAATGGGGAGACCAAATCGTATTTTGTAGTGTACTTGCATGTCTATTTAGGTGATTTGATCCTCCTTTTTGTATTCAGCTCCATGGACATTTGATCCCGAACTACTGTTGATGTGCTTAAAAGCTCTGAAAGATCAGGTGAGTAGATTGTCACACCTGACTTTGCTCTGAATGTTGAAGTTTGAGATACGAGGCAGAATTTCTCATTAAAACTGTATCTGATTACTGATTTATATATGCACACAAATTGCCATGAAAATTAAGATCATATATAGATCTTGTTCTCTGCACCAGGGATCAGTATATGCTCCATCATTTGACCATGGTGTTGGAGATCCAGTAGAAAATGATATATTTGTGAATGTTCAGTAAGTAAATTGTACTCCATACTTCAGGATTTAATGTGGTTCTATGCTTTGATTCCACTATTACGGTCATATCCAGTAAATTAGCATTACCTACTGTTTGGGTCTTGCAGTCACAAGGTGGTGATAGTTGAAGGCAATTATTTGTTGTTGGAAGAGGGCGTATGGAATGAAATTTCATCAATATTTGATGAAAAGTGGTAAGGGTATTATTCTTAATTTCTTAGCATGAAGAGGTGAATGCATCAGAGTTTGTGTACTTCACAATTGGATATTTTTTTGTGGACTAGTGGACGGACTGAAATCTAATCCATTTACGATCCTTCTAAAATTCATTAAAAAATCTGATCCTTCCATGATCCATTTGAAAAAAATGGATCCATTAACATTTTTTCACAGAAAAGCATTATGCATCCTATTCATCTTTATCGTATTATATTTTTGTGTAGAGATGATTAAGCTGTGCATATAATGATACCTTATTTAGCATATACTACGTATGTAGTAATAGGTAATGTAATACGAAGTATATGTCATTAAATTTGAAAAATTCAATGATTACGATGAATATCTAGGATACTACTTATTTAGCGTGTACTACATAGGTAGTAATCGGTAATGTAATACAAAGTACTACCTTCGTCCCGTTGGAAGGTTCCCATAGAAAAACGGCACGAATATTTAGGCAATAATTAAATAAAGTACTTCGAGTATATTTTGAGAAATAATTTTAATAGGTATATATTATAATGTAGTTAGTATTGATAACTGTGATGTTATAAATGTATTATTTTTAATATTTAATGATTAATTTATCACTTAAGGTTGTTAATTGTTTCCTAAAATGGAAATGAGAACCTTCTACCGGGGCGTCCAAAAAAGGAAAGTGGGAACCTTCTAACGGGACGGATGGAGTATATGTCATTAAATCTGACACAATTAATTTTTTTGATGGATCACTAGTCACTAACCATCAATATAATACTTGCATAAAGGATTGGATGGATTTATGTTTGGATGGATTGAATGAATGGGAGTAAATCGGTAATCTGATTTTACTTGCATAAGGTCTGCCTTACTAATTACTTAATTAGTTTATCCGATCTTTTTGAATTACTGCCTGCTTTCATTGGATCAATGGATGAGACTACATTTTTTTGTTATCGTTCAGTTTTTTGTTTATAAATTTTATGCACTTATTTGGAAGGTTTATCGATGTTGACATTGAAAAAGCAATGCAAAGGGTTTTGAAGAGGCATATTGGGACAGGTATTTCTTAAGGAACCACTGTTCTATTACTCTATTGTCACTAGGGTGCCAACGAGCAGAGCATAGCTCAAAGCTCCAAAAACATATACTACGTACTACATATTAGCTTGAGTTCGAGCTCGAACAATCTTAATAATTTTTACGCGGCTCGAGTTTGGCTTGTTAATTTTAACAAGGATCAAGCTCAGACAAGATGCTCACAAGTCACAACCAAGGTTACCGAGCTCGAGCCTAAAATAATTTTCAGATGTTTAATACTCCGTATTATTAGTACTCTTTTTATAGATGCATGTAAATAAATAAATCGGGAATATTATTCAATTATGTTATAACTGTGCGTCATGAGCCAAATTTGTGGTGCTTGAGCACGGCTCGATTGCTTAACAAGCCGATTTGAGTTCGGCTATAGTTCAAATTTGACAAAACTCAAGTTGAGTTTTGACCGAGCAACTTCATTCACTTGCATGCTAATAATTGCACTTGTAATTTATTGAGAAAATTATGAGGCTGGAAAAGGATTGACTAATTAGGGTCTGCCTTCACTCTTTTTTGTCTTTTGTCTGGGCTGTGTAGGGAAACCTCCTGATGTTGCTCAATGGCGGGTATATTTTTGTCTCTGTATCTGAACAAATAATCAATTAGTTGCACACAGACCATTCAGTGTCATCGTCTTTGCTAAAGTTTAATTACACCTTTTGCAGATTGAATACAATGACAGACCCAATGCCGAACTTATCATTAAATCAAAGAAAAATGCAGATTTGGTGATAAACTCAATCAACTCTTAAAGATGATTCAATCCCAAAATCCTCTTGCCTGAAATATGAAACCTGTTTTATTGCATACAAGGTAGATGCCCTATGAAGGAAGCCAAGGGGTAGATGTATACATAACATATAGTTTGATGTAGTCCTGGGAAATATTTCTTCAACTAGTGTTTTGTTTATTTTAAAATAAACACAAATAATGTACATTAAGAGCAAAGTATCGTTTGGCAGGGGGTGTTTGTGTCCAAATCGCTACCCTTTTCCTTGTGGCTAGTAAAAATCACTAACTTCGGCACCTAGGGGACTAGGGAAGAATTATTCCTCTATTTCCAGTGGAAAAATCCATATGCATACCCAACACAGAAGAAAATTGTCACTATCTTAAAAAAATAAGCACTTGTGGTGTATAAGTTTTGATTATTCCCACGAGACTACATAGACAAATTATGATTTATGCAAGTGTTTAATGTTTGATAGATTTTCCCTGCCTATCCAACTAGGGTGATATACAATGTTTATTGTTGTACTAAATTAACTCGCTGTCCAAATTAGATCTAAACAATAATATTTCAATCCAAATGAAAACACCACTCAGCCACACAATATGTAATTAATTATTATTCATGGATACAACACACACAAGTAAATAAAAGAAAACAGGCAGCCAGACAGTAGCCATTATTAGGGAAACAATAAAATGGAGATACTTAGAATATATATGAGGTACGAAGTACAAACAAAAACAGTTCATGCATGATGAATAGTTAATTAAAAGTCTTGCAAACGATGGCAATCTTAATTTTACTTACTGCAGGGTCTTGTGCCCTTGATCATTGATTAAAATAAATAAAACAACCCTAGCTTAATTGTACTTAGTAATAACTGAAGATACACCAAACCATGCATAACCATCATATCATGCACGCAATAAAAATTACAAACAGATCAGATTGTATCACATTGATCTTCGACACCACCGCATTCATTCATTCTGTATTAATTGACGGATCGATGTCTATCCCCATTCCCAATTGTAGAATTAGTGAAGACACCGCCCGCCAAAAGTACGCGCAGGGTCCTTCATTTTCAGCTTCTGTTCTTGCATTTTTCCATAGCTCTAGGTGCTGCATCCATACATGTATCCCATTCTTAATATATATTCCTTACTTTGTTGAACATTAATGTTCAGATAGAATACAAAGTTGTTTTTATAAAATTTTGGATAGATGAATTACTCATATAGTCATATACATTAGGATGTCGATAAATGTCGATGTTGAAGATATTAATAATGGCCAAACTTTTTAAAGATCATAGTTTTTTGTGTGTGTGAAACTCAAACTATGAACATAATTTAGAGATGAGATATAATGTGTTATCATGACTTACCAAGTCCTATTGCTTCTGTTCCTTTCATAATGCGCAAGCGCTTGCATGATCCCACAAACATCCTGGGATAAACAATAATGATAATGCATAAGTTTTTTTTCTCAAAGATAAGCATATATAGTTGAGTAATAATAATATACTCCAATTATTTAAGTTGGTATAATTAATAATGGATGAATAGGAAGGGGTAGCTGGAAATGATAAGCTAAGCTTACTCCCATGGAACATCGCCCACAAGCATCCAATCACCATCCTTGTCCTCATAGGTGGGGACATAATCAGAACTGTTCAACACATTCATCAGCTTCTTCTCATTCATGAAATCCTTCATCCCTCCTTCCCCTTCACAGTAGTTGCCTGCTTATTCCAGCCACACTTATTAATACTCCTTAATTATGCATATCATTCCAACCTTAGCTTATTAATAATTTCAGACTTGATATTATTGTATACTTCATAGTTTAAACTCTGACAAGAAAAAACAATATTTTTAGGTTCTTCATAGTTTGTTTGTCTAAACCGTTTTTCATTTAGACCAAACTCACAGCAATGAAACTTATCAGGATCTAATTGATCAAACTTATCATTATAAATGTCAACCTGAAAAGAGGAGTGATTTATATCTTAATATAACACTTTATTACTTCATAACTTTCCGGATCGGGATTGTGCCGTCATTCAATTTCTCATTGATTCATCATTGTCAATTTTTTTTATAATAATGGTCATTTTTCATATAGGGCCCACACCATGTTTATGGATCGATTTGACAGTAGTATCATGTTAATATCTGAATTGTCATCCTAAAGGTTATGATAGGAGAACTGGAGAAGTAACTCATATCTTAATCAAACACTTTATTACTGTACAATTTTTTCGATTTGGGACTTAACTTTCTCGGCCTAGACCAAACCATCCAATTACAAATACTTATAAAGTTTTTAGAATTTTTTTGAAAAGTTTCTTTATTTATGTAGTCTTAATATTATAAATTTCTAATTGTTCTAACATCCTTGTTGATTATGAATTGTTACTTTTGTCTCATGTGTGTGTAATTTTTTGACAATGGTGGGCCCTGAAAAATTGAAGTTTAAACAGCTGATTTGGTTCCATAGGAGTATAGAAGCAATGAATCAAACTTGTTGGGTGAAAAAACTGAACAAAACCAAATCCATCAGTGACAAATCTAAATATTCTACGTATATACATTTGACCTGGTCCGAATTTGGGTGTACACCTTAGTACCTTACCCGACAGAATCACGCATATCGTAATGACTTGCATTTGATATGTATGTACCAGATACGGTTTTACCATGAGACGGAATATACCCAAAATATATAAAATGCATTATTATTTGACTTATTTATTTTAACTATTTTCCCACACATTTTGTCATTTTGTGCGTGGCAGGGACATAATTAAAATGAATAATTGAATACTAGCGTTTGCCACAACTTATTTACCACTAATTTCAACATGTTTTTACTTGGGTTGAAATTTGCTGGTCTGATCTTTTTAAGTCTGGTCTGGTGTGGTCTGGGACTGAAAACAGTCCAAATAAATACATTCTCAGTCTTAGACTATCAGTCCCTAAGATTTTTTTAGTCGGATCTGTTTAAGGTTAAAGCTGATATGAAAATAAACTGGAGTGAAAACACTTTTAGATTAAAGGCTAAAGGGTCAAATAGGCCCTTGAACTGACTTAAGGTGTTCTGTCCGTTTGTCGCCAATTGGGGTGATTCCTGCTGGAATTTTTTGATGAATTATTTTGAGCATCTTCTTCATTAAGTCTAGTTTACTCATACCAAATTTCAGCTTAAAATTCAACTTGGAAGGCAGTCAAAAGAATTTTTTGAAGATAATTGTGAAGTTAAACAACGCAGTACATTTCGAAAAATCATTTGAAAATGATACTCTATACTACTCCGTATAACAATGATATAAAGAATACTCGTATTTGACCAGATTTGAATAGTTCAATCAAACGGAAACAAACTAGTTCTTTTGCATATATTGCATTAAAAGTTCTCAAAGGTAAATCATCCTACATCTCGAAATGAACTTTCCGGTTTCTTTCTTGGTCCTTCCAAATTCATATTTTTATGTATATGAATTTGTGTGATAAGATTTGCTTTGAGAACATTCTTTAAATAATGAGACTAAAATATTAAAATGTAGGAACACAATTAACTTTTTATTAAAATAAAACTCATACAATTCTAATTGATAAAGTTCTTATGCTTTCAATTAAACCAAATTACTCTTATTTTAAAAATAAAATATTTTTATTTTTATTGACACACACATACATATGCAAGTATATATCGAGTGCAATTTACTAATTTATTTAAGGTTCGTTGACATGAACTATATCCAAAGACTATAATAATTAAAGCTCCCATTGAGGTGTAAAAATCAAATTTAAACGCAAAACTTATACTTAAAATATCAGAATAAAAAAGAATTGGGTTGAGTAAACAAGTAACAAGCTGGAAATCATTTAGGATGAATAAATAAATGAGTTAAATGAAAGGCCGTACCAAGAGTGAAGGAACCAAACATCTTGGCAAAGGCATGAGAGAGGTCTTGATAACTTTTGTACATGTTGAGGTCCACTTTTCTAAGGTAGGGTGCACCGTCCATGCTCACCTTCACCAGCACCGCGCCCTTGTCGCTGCTGCCGCTCTCGCTGCCACCGCTCCCCTTCGCCGCAGCCGCGATCACATTCTTCCTGAAAGCCCTCACTGGTGGCCAACCCACAACCTGTGCCCTGTCCAAAAACAATTATTCAAGTGATCAATTATCCCACACCCCACCTAATTTGGCCTTGAATTCATGGAAACCGTTTTTGTATTATAAAGTGTTCATTTCACATGGGTAACATTTTTATATATGTCCAATAACTTATATTAATACCTATTATTAAAGGGTAGTTATAATTACTTCCTCTTCATGTTTTCTGACTAAATTTCTTATCACATTAAGGAAACAATATGTATATGTGACTAAAATTATAAAATTACTGTTAACAAATTAAACAGTCATGAGTTATAAGACTTATAATGAATACACACATAAATTAGACTCCGTAGAAAAACAACATATGCAATTTTGTCTATAGATGAATATGACCACCGTAGACTTTATTATACTCACGTTCCTCAAAACTTGATCAATTTAACCTTTTTTAGTTAATGATTATAAACTTTAGACAATAATTTTAGCTATTATATATTTGTGTGTAACTTATAACTTTTATACTATTTTGAAAGCACTTTTAAAAATACTTTTCCATTAATATTATGTAACTTACTTTTCCATATAATTTTAATATTCAAAATAATTTCATATTAAAAATATCATTGGTCAACCTTGATCATCACCAATCAAGAAAAATCAATATGATCAAGTTTTATAAAACAAAGGGAGCCAAGTTTGTGGAATAGGTGAATTAGCACTGTTAATACAATGCTTCTTGGTGAAACCAGCTGTCATTCAAAGCTTGCCTAATGTAAGGTTTAAACTTTAATTGGGTGGCATCTTTGTTATTTTTCATCATTATGTAAAAAATAGAAACAAGATATTTCAAAATTTTTGACATTGTTTATCAAGATTTTTTTTTAAAAAAAAAACTAACTTATTATAAATAGTAAAAGTGACTAGCACTAAAAACGATCAGCAAAACATGCATGTTCAGCTTTAAGGTTTTGAAAATAAACAAAAGAAAACAACATTAAAATATGCCATAATGAACGTTATCTTAATTTATCTTATGCTATCTAGAAATGAACCACTAGTCACTACTACATACATATGAGTCCATGGAGGACATATAGGAAGTGAAAGTTTTCACCATATTGTTTAAGTTTTGAAATTGAGATAGATTATATTCTTTAATTGGTATTAAAGTCCGAATATGTATGACTTAATTATGATTATAGTCTTTGAAAAAACTTATACGGAGTATTAAAAAAAGTATGTTAAAGAAAAAGAAACACTTACTTGGCTGGAGGTTTGACTGAATCCTTATCATGATTGACCTGATTCTCATCAGAAACACAGCTTTGAGAATCCTTATTGGATGAAAGCTTGAGCTTCAAATCCACATGTTGGGTTTCTTCAAACCCTCTTTTACCCTTCGCCGTTGACCCTCCGCCGCCGCCCGGCAACCCTAAGCTCAGCTCCAACTTGCTCTCTTCTCCGCCCATTGCCGCCATCTCTCGCCACCTTATTCTTCTTCTTGTGAAAAATAATAGCACTAGCTAGCTAGCTTCTTTGAACGTAACGTGGATGCTATTATATAATAATATTTTCCTTATATTTATTATATACTACGTATTTATTATATACTACGTATAACTATCAATAATCAATAATAATACAGACGGTGATGACCAATGACGCGAAATTTCTTAGCAATTGGAAATATAATTTATAATTTATTGTAAATATATATAATCATAATAATAATGGACGTGGTACGTATAAACTATTTGAAAGGCGGGTGGGGAGAAGCAGCTAATTTAAGGGCTGGTTTGTCTTTGTGGGGCACTAATAATATCCCAATGGGTCACATTTGTTTCACGTACCAATGTTCCCTGCCATTTAATAGAAAATATTATGACGTGACACCAGGGTATTATCAATAAGATATGTGTTGGGTTTAATAATTCCTATATGTCCAATTTAATTACTCACATAATTGGAATATATATGCAGCTAAAGTACTTAATCATCACGTACGTATACTTCTTTCCATTGTATCAAAAAAAAAAAAATCACGTACGTATACCGTATTAAGCTAATTGATTTGTTAATCAAACACTCCTTTATTTTGGCTATATATATGTAGTTCAACACTTCAACTGCCTTGATTAATTTGGCTTTATTTATTTCTCGTATATTGACAACAATATATAATAATGTACACCATCAGCCAGAAGTCTGATGAAATATTCAGACTTAGATGGCTGAATTAACCGAATGATTTGATGAATTATAAAAAAGTATCGTTAAAATATCCCTTATTAATAAAATAAAGGAAAAAAAGAAAAAATTTAAATAAAAAATTCCCGAAATAGGAGTAAAAGTGTTTGAGAATTTCAAAATAGAACTGTCATGCATATTTTTATTCTCAAAATAAAAAGTAATTACTATCAAGCTTGAAAAGTAGTGTCATGTTTAAAGTTTGGTATTGCCAAAACATGACAGTAATTAGTCCTATTTTGGGAATAAAAACATGATAGTCTCATTATGAAATGTACAAACGTTTATAGTTCTATTTTTTTAGGATAATTTCCCATACTAAAATAGTCATCCGTTACGAATTCAAGTAGCTAGCTAGAAAGAACCTCCTGAATTATTTTGAATGTTGCACGCTTTTGGTAAAAAGGTTGTCCCATAAGCCAAATTAAAAGACTAGGTTACTAAGCTAATTAAATGAGTTCTTGTGTTAGTTGACAAGGTCCATGAAGAAAACAATTAAAGGATATAATTATAAGTGCATATATATTTGTTTAGAATTTTAACTTCTAAATAGTAAGAAAAAGTAACAAGGGTTTATAAAAAGTAAAACTATGAATATAATAGATAAAGTGATAAGGTAAAAAATAATAAGTTAATGAAAATTCAATTTAAAAATATACTACCTCCGTTCCAGGGACAAGTTCCCACTTTCCTTTTTTGGCAGTCCCAACAAAACGTTTCCATTTCCCTAAATGGAAAGTTATCCTACATCAAAACAGTGCCAAACAGTGCAAAACAGTGTCAAACAGTGTCGAAACAGTGCCAAACAATGTCGAAACAGTGCCAAATGGAAAGTCAACCCGGGAACTTCTCTCTGGGACGGAGGGAGTATTTCATATTTATTGAGCAATTTAAAAAAAACTTACAAAATGGTATGAAGCCAATTAACCCTCATATCCCATCAACCTATGACCTAATTTTTTATAGCAAAAGAGGTAATTTACGGGAGAATCTTATACGTAGTACAACCTTTCATAGTGCTTGATTGCATACTAGCTTTTGGGTTACAATAGATTGTACTAGTATTCAATTATATGACCCCTTCTTAATAGAAAGTAATGCCTCAAAAAAAAACAGAAAGTAATAAGAGAAGTGTGAATTCATATATAAAGTTATAAACGTGTGTTAGCTACTTAGCTTCTACTCCGTATAACATTGTGAATAATATAATGTAAGGATTTCTAGACATTTTGGAAGATTATACTACAGGTATAAGTTTAATTTGTTGGTATTTCTTGGAAGATTTTAACAATGTAGAGGGAATACTACGTATAAAATTCTAGAAGAAAAGATTAGTCTCTTGCTTTAGAGATTAGTATAAATTGGAGGTGAGATTGTGAGAAGAGAGAATCGAATATATATGGAGGCCGTTTGGGAACCATGATTTTCAGCTTATCAGGCTTATCAGTCAACTTTTTCACCAAACACGTAAATTTTGTTTTCGCGCGCTGAATTGTGTAATAAGCAGAAAAAGTAAGGTTGGGGTTACTTTTCTGTCTGTATTGGCTGAAGTTACTGTAGATGACAATTTTAACTATTTTTACATATAATTTTTTCTTTATTTTATTAATAAAATATATTTGAAAAATATTCTTTTCTTATATCAACCGAATCAGCCAATGCAGCCATTTCAGCTAGAACTTCATAAACTTCATCAGAATCAGCCAAAACAGCTGATTTTCGTGCTACCAAACGGGCTCATGATTTCTCCTAAGTGATGTATTCCCACATATAAAAAGTGACGTGAGTTAGTCGTATAATTGAGGAAAATCTCGTGTGCATACATCTCATTGAATAAAGCGGCGTCATATTACTTGATTGGGTATTTTTGTTTTGAGCTGATGATCCTAAGAAGTGAACAGATGGTTTCCAGATCAATAACCTAATAGTCGAATTTCATTAGCTTGAAGAATGTGGAACTGGTGTCGATTTATTAAACTGCTCTTTACACACACATTCGGGAACGTTCCTTCGAGTTTCTCCATCAGTATTTTCATTTTTGTAGTATTTAGGAGTCGCTAAACGTGCTTGTTCTTTTATGGCTTCTCTTAAAAAACTATGCCTGCAATTCCAACTAGCTATATACTATACGTAGTACTTGGTTTCCTAATGTTTTAACTTCTACCAATTGTTCCTTAGTCTTCTAATAAAATCCAAACTGTTTATATCGATACCACCACAAGGTCTTATTCAATAAAATTTACACAAGTGGTTAGATCCTCATCACACTCAAGCATGCATATATACATATTGAAGCTTAAAATAGCCGTCCATTTCATTGCATATACATAACACATCACTTCTTAGGTTCAAGAACGTCTTGTCTTGATGAATGAGTTATAAGATGTATAATATAATGTCACACAATAGATTCTTATACGGAAACCTTAAAAGGGAAACCGAAAAATTATGGCTACTTACAGGTACACCATGTCAAATTAACATATCAACTATCATTGATCTTATGTCTCATTAACACACGTTCAAATCTTAGGAGCTACACTTGGACTCTATCTTAACTCATATTTAACCTATATTTAGATTATAATAGGTTCTTGGACCAAGGACGTTTGTGTTGTTTGAACCAACAAATCTTTTGTTATGACTTAATAAAAGTATATCTTACAATAAAGTTGATTGCTAAATCTTGAATATTAGAGTATCGTATATCAAGATACTTTTGTTGACCAATTTAAAAACATTTTTGGAAGCGGCTGGTGAAGCAGCTAGCTGACTAAAAGAGCCTCTACTTTTGGGAGATCGAATAACAAGATTGAGACTCGATGATGTGGAATAGATTTTGATTATCAAATTATTATTATTATTATTATTATTATTATTATTATTATTATTATTATTATTATTATTATTATTATTATTATTATTATTATTATTATTATTATTATTATTATTATTATTATTATTATTATTATTATTATTATTATTATTATTATTATTATTATTATTATTATTATTATTATTATTATTATAGTGCTTCAAGTTAGCGTATTTTGTACACATGAACCAATGAGAATATTATAATTGAGTAATATGAGCGTAATTAATAAACGCACTATACCATTTCATTGATCAACTCAAAATGTTCCGGTTTGAATTTGTCTATTGGAAATTATACCATAATAATTTTTTTTCACAAACAATGTAAATAAAAGAATACAACCTCCCCATCACAATTCGGATTATATTGTAACAATTAATAATACGGAGTATATTTCAACTATTTCAACTATTACGGAGTAATATTACGGAGTATATATATTACGGATCATAAATAAACATGCCAACATCTATATTATGTAGCACCAAAACCTAAATGGCTCTCAAACAAATCGGTAGGAACAGTTGGACGGCTTCTAGGAAATGATACTTGTATGTATTTAGCAAATCAATTTCTATTTAATTTGAAAATAAAAAGGAAACTTCATATTATAATTGTATTTCTTCCTACACACTAATTAATTAATGTGCCACTAAAACATATAATAATAATAATATTTACAATAAAAGATGATCCAACAATAAATTTATACAACCGGCCAGTATCTTATTATGAGACAGTGGAGAAGTTGATGATGATGGTGGAGGAATGGTGGTGTGACATCGATTTTTATGTTTGATAGTGTGGCGGTGGTGAAGAAAGTGATGGCTTTGTTCAAGCTATTACACCGATACACTAGTATAGTGGTATATATTGGCGAGCAGTGGGTAAAAGTTTGATGGTTATTATTGAAGGTATATAGAGACTCCAATTTGAAATAGTCCATGGATAAAATTTGGTTGGATATCTCAAGAGATAATGTTGATTAGCTAGGAAGCATATAGCCCACGATTCCCCTTGGGTAAGTCACTAAGTCATCATCCTCGCTAATAAAGTTAAAATCTTAAGGTTTTGATTTCATAAGTTATAAGCTAGTCAATTTAATTGGGACTAAAATTTAGATCATCACTTGGAATAAATAAATTAAATAAAGCACATATATTTAATTGAATTACACAAGGTGGTTAAATAAGATAACTTAAAGACTTTTTATGTTAGTATCTCATGCATGCTTGTGTTCTTTACAGAGATCGAGTTTGATTAAAGGTATGTAATTACTTAGATCCCTTCCAAATGGGAGATGTTCTAGAAAATTTTAAAACTTTCTACGGAGCTGCAGAATTTTCTAGAATGTTTGAGAAAACTCTAAATAAGTACGAAGTATACAATACTACATAACATCACTACAAAAAACAGGGCTGAGTCACGGACCGTAGTGTTACAAATCCGTGACTAAACGGGCGTGACTAACTTTAGTCACAGACTGTTGACCGTGATTACGTTTACTCACGGCCATAATCTGTGACTAATTCGTTACCGGAGTTGCTATTCCGGTACATTTGTCACTTAAACTTTATTTTTTTTTAAATCCGTCAAATTAGTCACGGACCTATCCG